CCTGACCGAGCGCCCGCCTCTGACTTCGATTCGCCAACTTCTCGATCGCCTGAGAGCTAGCATCCAGAACAGCCAGTTCGCTGTCGCGAAGATGTGCCAGCAAGTGGGTCCAGTACTCCCAAGGATAATGATCGGTCGGGCGGACAATCTGAAATGCTCGGTCAGGGGTATCTTCCAGCAACCGTCTACCTGCTTCGTACAACATATTCAATTGCCTGGAACCTCCTGTCCTCCGAAGATGTCGTGTAATGCTACTGATCACTGTGCTCGCCCGTGTCCACCAACTGCAGACGCGATCACGTAGCGGTGCGACTCTACTCGGTGTAGCCTGCTGGACACAAGCCACTTGGAACTGTGGTGCCGACCCACGTGGCACTCCAGAGAAGACCTGCTTATGGTGCGAGTGCATGGATGCCTCGACCGTGCGAATCCAGCTGGCGTACAAGCCGCTCAACACAGCCGAATCGTTTGAGCCGAGGTGGTAGGCTATGGTCCTAGCAATCGCAGGAGCGGGGGGGCAGGCAGAGGCAGGGGTGAATCCGATGCTCGGTCTGTGCTCATGCCAAGTACTGCTAGGGATGTGAAATTCGGGCTGCCACTTTAGCGTGTCGGACTGCTCCTCGGAAGATGACCCCTGGGCGGCTGGGTTGGGGAAATCCGACGGCTCACGCGGGACTGACTTGACATCCTCTGACTGTCCGAAAGTAGCCTCGGGGCACGAGAGAGGCGGGGCGGCCGCGGGTCTGAAAACGGTCTCGTCCGCCCAAGGGTCGTCCTCCGAACAGCCCTCCCGCTCGTCGCCTGAGCAAACGGGTTCACCGCCGTCCTCGCAGTGGGTGTCCACGTAGCTGTGGGCCGAGGGTTGGGGAGGCAGGGGGGGGGCGAGACCGTGGCCCGAGCCCCGATTCTCTTCCGCCCCCCCCGTCGAGACCAAGCCCCGAGGAAAACCAATCTTCAAAAAAGCGCATCACGTTTCTGCTTCGCGTCCAACCTTGAAAACGCCCTCTTGGTCTTGGCCAAACTGGATTTGGATCCAGGGGTTGCCCGACAGAGGGGCTTGCAGACCTGAGGAAGGCGAGCAGGGAGATCAGGGTACCTAGTATACAACTGGGCGCCTTGGGACACTAACTCTATACTGAGACCGAAATGTGATTTCCATGGCACGGCGACGACGGGCAGAACGTGACGAACATATGCACGTGCCGCGTGACGCACTATCAAATAATCCAGATGACTGGGTGCTTTTCCAGCTGCTGGCGTGCAAGTGAACTGTGCGCCGGAGCGTGCAATCTGGCCTCCAACACGCTCCAACCATCCTGACCGAACTACGCTCTCTGGTGGCAGGTTCCAGTCTGCAACTACGATCCATGGAATCTGTAAAGACTGCAGCAGACAACCTAGCTTCCTGAGTCGGCCAACGTTGGCATCACGAAATCCTATGCCTGAGTGCCCGTAGAAGCAAAAGGTGGCCAGAGAAAAACCTCTCATGTGAGCGACGCACGGCGCGAACCCATCGTGCATGCTGCCACGCTCAGCGCGTAGCCCACTTGCAGCACGTGCTTCAGCCAGTAATTGAACAGGTCGATGATGGCGAGTGAGTAGCCACTCGCCCCCTTCATTGCTGTGACTGTCCATCTGCTCGTCGGGCTTGATCCACTTGGACTTCGGCCTGGCGGGGTTCGCGAACAGCTTCAACGATGCCAGACGAGCGCGGGCAGACCACTTGCTCACAGCTTGCTTCCCAATGTGTGTCTCGCACGCGGCTAGAAGATCATGACTGGACGACAGTGTCTCGATGAAATTCCAGGCCTTGTCGCCCATGCGTGTGACGTTCGAGAAAAACATCCTTGTAGTGGTAGTTGTTCCAGTAGAAACACTGGCTCCCTCGTGCTGCTGATTCGCCGCAACGGCGTCGGCACTTGCAGATCCTGGTCAAGAACCAGGCGTGCCTCCTGGCTTGGCCGCGGCCTTCGGCACGGCTGTGTTGCCCTTGCCCAGCGCCTTGGCCGCCGACACCGACTTGAACCGCTCCTGCGACAGCCTGTCGGCCTCGGCCTTGAGCTCGCTCTCCGAGACCTGTGCTGTGGGCTGCGCCGTCTCCGTCGGCGCCGGTGCTGGTGATGAGCTGCCTCTAGAGGCTCCACCGCCAGCGCCTTCACCTGGGACTCCAGCTGTGGCGCCCTCGGTGGTCTTGCGCTTCTTCTGCATCCTGCCAGGGACCTCCTGCTCGGCCTTGGCAACCTTCTCAAGGAACTGCTTGAGCTCCGCGTCCTTGGACTCGAAGCTCTGCTTCCACGTCTCCAGCTCTGACTTGAGCTGACGCAGCGCCTGTTTGTCGCTCTCCTCGCACTCCCAGTCCTCGAACTTGTCAAAGACCTCGGGTTTTCATCTGAATGCTGATGGTCGGCATCGAGCCGTCGGCGCAGGACGCTGGCCCCTCTGAGCCGCGGATGCCCTCCGCCTTGGCCAGGGCTGCGGCGGCGTCCTTCTTGGCCCGCTCTGCGAGGACCAGCTCCTGGGCCGCGCTCTGCTCCTTGCCCTCGGCGGCCTGGAGCTGGGAGCGGAGTCTCAGCACCTGCGCCACCAGCTGCTCGTGCCGATGGCTGGCCGCCCGCCATGCCCCGTCAGCCCGCTTGACCGACTCGGCCGCCGTCTCACGAGACGCGGCGGGGGGCGTGGCGAGGCGGCTCCGCGGGGCGGCGAGCGCCGTCCTCATCTCCTCGTCCTGCGCCGTGCGCAGGGCCTTCTCCAACAACTCGTCCAGCTGCGTGATCGCCAGGTCCTTGCTCTTGCGCCCCTTGTCGCGCGAGCGGTTGCTACCTACGCTGCTGTTCTCCCAGTCGGACTCGTCCTCGAAGTGCACATGACGAGGGCCGCGGGGTTTGAACAGCTTCTTGACCTGGTGATTGCATCCTGGGCACATCATGCCGTTGGAACGAAGCTTGTCATTGTACTCGCACTTCTGGCAGTTGCCGCAGCGTGTCCATGCCTTGGCACGTTGCGGAGACATCCCTGCTTTCGCGAACACTTGCAAAGGTGTCAAAGATGCAAGTGGTCACACTCAAGCACCACTCTGAGGTACAGGGAAGGACTCGGGCGGAAGTGAGTGTGCAGCAGGCCCCCAGGCCTCAGACCCACTTGCTCGAGCCCAAGCGGCTTGAGGGAGGAGGAGGAGGAAGAGGAGGAAGAGGAGGAGGAGGAGGAGGAGAAAAAGGGAGAGGAGGGAGAGGAGGACGAGGAAACGGAAGAGGAGCAGGATGAAGAGGAAGAGAAGGAGGAGGAGGAGGAAGAGGAGGAGGAGGAGGAGGAGGAGGTGGAGGAGGAGCAGGAGGAGGAGGAGGAGGGAGGAGAAGGAGGAGGAGGAGGAGGAGGAAAAGGAGGAGGAGGCGGAGGAGGAGGAGGAGGATAAGGAGGAAGAGGAGGAGGAGGAAGAGGAGGATGAGAGGAGGAGAGGAGGAGGAAGAGGGTGGTCGTGAGATGGGGGAGCAGGATGTTGAGCAGGAGGAGCATTATGAATCAGCGGATGAAGAGGGATAGGGAAGTGCTGAGAACGAGGAAAGGGATGAGTAGCAAGAAGAGTAACAGCATCAGTGATAGTGGCCGAAGCAGCGCCGTCAGCAGCGGCAGGACAACTAGGAGGATGAGAAGGACATTGAGAAGGATTAGTCAAAAGACGCGGGGGTGAGGATAATGAGGCCAAGCAAGGGGAGGCCGAGTCGCAGGAGAAGGGTGATCATAATGATGATGATGATGATGATGATGATGATGATGATGATGATGATGATGATGATGATGATGATGATGATGATGATGATGATGATGATGATGCTGGTGATGATGATGCTGCTGATGATGATTATTATGCTGATGCTGATGCTGATGATGATGATGATGGTGGTGGTGGTGGTGATTCTGCTGCTGATGATGATGCTGATGATTATGATGCTGCTGATGCTGATGCTGATGATGATGACGATGACGATGACGATGATGATGATGATGATGATGATCAGGATGCTGCTGCTGCTGATGATGATGATGATGCTGATGATGATGATGCTGCTGCTGCTGATGATTATTATGATTATGATGATGCTGATGCTGATGATGATGCTGATGATGATGATGACGATGACGATGATGATGATGATGATGCTGATGCTGATGCTGATGCTGATGCTGATGCTGATGCTGATGCTGATGATGCTGCTGATGATGATGATGATGATGATGATGGTGGTGGTGATGATGATGATCATGATGATCATGATGATGATGATGATGATGATGATGATGAGGATGATGATGATGATGATGATGATGATGACGATGACGATGACGATGATGTGATGATGATGATGCTGATGATGGTGATGGTGATGGTGATGATGATGATGGATGATGATGTGATGACGATGATGATGATGATGATGATGATGATGATGATGATGAGATGATGATGATGATGATGATGATGATGATGATGATGATGATGATGATGATGATGATGATGATGATGATGATGATGATGATGATGATGATGATGATGATGATGATGATGATGATGATGATGATGATGATGATGATGATGATGATGATGATGATGATGATGATGATGATGATGATGATGATGATGATGATGCTGCTGCTGTTGCTGCTGCTGCTGCTGCTGCTGCTGCTGCTGCTGCTGCTTGTTTTGACGGAAGAGGAGGAGGAATATGCACACGAGGAGGAGGAAATGGAGGAGGCGGAGGAGGAGGAGGAGGAGGAGGAGGAGGAGGAGGAGGAGGAGGAGGAGGAGGAGGGCGTGAGGCTGAGATGGAAGAGGGGGTCCGGACGAGGAGAAGACGGACGTGGAGATTGAGAAGGGGGCAGGAGTCGGAGGAGCAGGAGGAGGAGGAGGAGGAGGAGGAGGAGGAGGAGGAGGAGGAGGAGGAGGAGGAGCCGGAGGAGCATAAGGTCGAGAGGGCGGCGTTGCCCCGCGATCGCCCCGGCGCGAGAGGCCACCGGCAGCAACGCCCGCGGTGTGGGCTGCAGTAGGGAGCGCGGTGAGTGCGCCCGACGCGCTCGAGGTCGGGCCGCGGACTCTGGCCCGTCCGTCGAGCTCTACAGTGAGCGGCTTGAACAAGGAACACTTACTTTTCAAAAGGGGCTCTGTCGTTCCTCAGGCTTGCATGCGTTAATGTCGCTCCTTATGCGATATGTACTATCGGAGGTGAGGGGGTGAGATCGAAGTGGAACGGAGAGCCCCCCTACCGGGAAATCGATTTCGGTTTCGTGTTCGTGCGTGCCGTGCGGGCGGGCGAGGCGAAGCTGCGTGGGCGGGCGAGAAAAAGTCTCCTGTGGCTGAGGCGCGGCCGGACCAAATGTCTCCCTTCCGGGCGGCCGGTGGCCCGCGGTGTCCCGCCGGTGTCCCGCTGGTGTCCCGTGTGGCTGAGGCGCGGCCGGACCAAATGTCTCCCTTCCGGGCGGCCGGTGGCCCGCGGTGTCCCGCCAGTGTCCCGCGGTGTCCCGCGGTGTCCCGCGGTGCCCGCGGTGTCCGCCGGTGTCCCGCGGTGTCCCGCGATGATGATGATGATGATGATGATGATGATGATGATGATGATGATGATGATGATGATGATGATGATGATGATGATGATGATGATGATGATGATGATGATGATGAGATGATGGTGATGATGATGATGATGCTGATGCTGATGATGATGATGATGATGCTGATGATGATGCTGCTGCTGATGATGATAATGACGAGGATGATGAAGACGATGATGATGATGCTGATGGTGTCCCGATGATGAGGATGATGATGATCATGATGATTATGTTGATGGTCATGATGATGATGGTGTCCCGATGATGATGAGTATGATGATGTTGATGTTGATGATGCTGATTCTGATTGTGTCCCGATGATGATGATGTTGATGATGATGGGATTGATGATGATTATGGCGTCCCGATGATGATGATTATTATGATGGTGATGATGATGTTGATGATGATGGCGTCCCGATGGTGATGATGATGATTGTGATGATGATGATGATAGATGGTGATGATGATGATGATGATGATGTTGATGCTGATGTTGGTAATGATGATGATGGTGCCCAGATGATGATGATGATGATGCTGATGATGATGTTGATGCTGCTGATGATGATGTCGATGATGAGGATGAGATGATGATTATGATGATGATGATGATGGTGTCCCGATGATGATGATGATGATGATGATGATGATGATGATGATGATGATGATGATGATGATGATAACGATGGTGATCATGATGGTGTCCCGATGATGCTGCTGCTGATGATGATGATGATGACGATGACTGTGTCCCGATGTTGCTGATGATGATGATGCTGATGATGATGATTGTGATGATTGTGATGATGATGATGATGATGATGAAGATGATGATGATGGTGGTGGTGTCCCGATGATGTTGATGACCGTGATGATGATGTTGGTGTTGATGATGAGGACGGTGTCCCGATTATGATGATGTTGGTGATGATGATGTTGATGTTGATGTTGTTGTTGTTGATGATGATGATGATGATGACGTTGATTGTGAGAGCGGTTGCGATATCGATAGTGAGATCGATAGTGAGACCGAATGTGATATCGATTGTGAGATCGATTGTGAGATCGATTGTGAGATCGATAGTCAGATCAATTGTGAGATAGATCGAGTGAGATCGATTGTGAGATCGATCGACGGAGATCGATCGAGCGAGACCGATACTGAGATCGATAGTGAGATCGATAGTGAGACCGATCGAGTGAAACGTTGGTTCCTCCCCCCCCCGAACCTCTTTATCACCCGAAGGGTGGTCGTATAGGTAGATCGTTCCCTTCCTTACGCGTTACTCCTTGGATTCTTATTTATCGTTCCTTAGGTCAGGCCGATGACTGTACGGCCAGGAGCTGTGGCTCAGCGTGTCGCGCCGCCACTGCTGGCCCACCACTCGGGTGCAACGAGAGGAGGGGATAGGCCTCGGGGCGGACGCATCGACCCCCCCAATCGCCCGTTGATCGCCGATAGGGGGGCCCGAGAGCCCCCACCTGCCCAGGCAGGTGCGGACTCGCTCTCGGAGGCCTGTCGCCGATCTATCGGCGATGTATCTAGGGGAACAAAAAGTGACATAAACATAAAAACTCGGAGGTCCGCGCGGATTTCTCGGATCGGCGCTGGGGCCCCCCGGCGGCGCCTCCGGCGCCGCCCCTGGCGCGCTCCGCGCGCCAGGGAGGGGGTCCAGCGCCGATCCGAGAAATTCGCGCGGACCTCCGAGTTTTTATGTTTATGCCACTTTTTGCTCCCCTAGTATCGTCGATTCCAGGTCGACGCATCCCCCCCCCTATGCCAGTCCCCCCCCTATCGTCGCCCCTCGGCCGCGCTTCGGCGCGGCACGCCACCCGTTCCCCGGATCCCCCCGGATGTCGACGCCCCGAGATTTGCCAGCCTTCCGGTCCCGCGGGGCG